TAACTCTTAACTAAAATCATCCCGTTCATCTCGTTAAGTGAAGTATTTTTCTATGTTTTTTTTAGTCTGACAAAATGAGAGAAAAGTTTTGCCCCTCAAATTCTGATAAATTTCTTGTTTTTAAGTTTTTTTTTTGGTAGAAAATGTGGTGGGTAATAACTGGAGGTATGAAACTCGAATTCGAAGGACACAGCATGGCTGCGCCTGCTGTTTGGGAGCATCCCAGTAACATCACTGACATTTTCTATCCAAAAAAACTTAAAAAATCGGCGCGTGGATTGTTTCGATTGCCTTCATGTAAAAAAAGCAGCATTTTTGGAACTATTCAGTTTTCGGCATATTTTTATCACAGTTGACCTTATTCTGGTTTGTAGGTAGACAGCCACTGTTCTTTTTTGCTTAGGTTCTTAGGTTTGCTACTGCTTAAAGTTGTGCGGCTAAAAATTTTAGCTCAGCAAATTTTACCCGGCTTTCCTCTGCTGTTGCGTGCCTTTTTTTCTTTTTTTCCTCCTCGGTCTCGGCCTCCTCGGACTCCTCGGCCTTTTTTTCCTAACTTTTGGCAACGGCTGTATAGTTTTTTTTTATCATCTCTGCTAGTAGCACTGGCAAATCTGACTTTGACCTACATAAAATTTCATTTTCATTTATCTGTTTAACATTGGTTTTTGTTTTCAGAAGGCCGATATGTGCCGGGTGCCGGATCATCAAGCAAAAACACATCAAACGGGGCATCAGGATTTATAGCCGATCCTTATACGGGTGAAAATGCATACGTAACAACTGAGCGTACAGTTTTACCCAGTGCCAACGCGCAATTTGGTTAGATTTATCTTGATTCATAAAAAAATTAATTTGCTCAATTTTGCTTTTTAGTAGATGAACGGTCACTGGGGTACTGTCCGGAAGGACTGTTTGTACAAACAGTGAAGACAGCGAGTAATAAAAATTGGCCAGCGCACCGACTTCCACTGTGGAGATGGATTTTTTTGCACAGTTCTGCAAGAGTTCCGTTGCTAACAGCATCTGTTTTTCCGGCAGATGCTTCTGGGTAAAAGAATTGAGACTGGCCAGCACAGCTGTCAGTAAACACATTCTTAAAATTTCAGCTTTCTAGCTTTTCTGGTCCCGAGTTGGCAACTTATCCACCCAAAATTTCCACGAGCCCGTACCTGAGAACGACGCATACTTGGGAGCTGGTTTTGAGCGCATTAAATTGTATTTGGATGGAGAACATCCACTTAAAATTCCAGCTTTCTGGCTTTCTTGGTTCCCGAATTAGCAACTTACCGCAAAAAATTTTCATGTGTAGAACCACGCACACCTGAGGGCTGGGTTTAAACTCATTAAGTCCTACGTGAACGAGGGACATCCCCTTAAAATTTCAGCCTTCCAGCTTTTCTGGTTCCCATTTAGCAGCTTATCGGCTAAAAACTAACGAGCCCGTACTTAGGAACTATGTGGATAAGGACGTCCACTTTGGGGAAGAGGGCCCGTACATGCATATAGATTTCTTCTAGTTTTTGTAGGTCTCAAGATGGAAAATCGGTACAGACGAACACACAGACACACACATACACAGACTGCCCTTTAACAGTATACGTTTTTGCATTGCATAGATGCAAAAAATTCATTTTTTGAAAACAAGCAGCTCAGGATCCGAGGACACAAAAACGCGCAAACAAAAAGCACACATGTCCTCAGTTTAGGATTTTTTTTTTGCTTTTACTTCATGGGCCTCTGGTCACTTAACCTATTTAGTGATGCATGTCACTGAAGTAATGCAGTGCTTGTGCTAATTGTTTGGTTTTTCAGATAAAAAGAGGCCAAGAAGTGATCTGGTTCCGCTTGAGAAATTCTTCCGTCTGGGCATCGAGCAACCTGCCGTTAAAGCGATTGCTCGGCTGAAGGAGGAGAATGAGAAACAGAGTGTGAATAAGCTAAGTGTCGAGCAGGTTTCATTTTGGATTAATTATTATTATTATTGTCATTATTATTATTGTTATTATTATTATTATTATTATTATTATTGTTATTATTGTTGTTATTATTATTATTGTTATTATTATTGTTATTATTATTATTATTATTATTATTATTATTATTA